TGTGTGTGTGTGTGTGTGTGTGTGTGTGTGTGTGTGTGTGTGTAAGGTCTGAGTTCAATCCTGAGTGAAAAAAGAAAAGAGCAGTGTCATGCCCCTAGCTGTAAAGTCTGTGCTTTAATGTATGTGAGGAGCGTGGTGGAAAGAGACAAAGGAATGCACATTATTATGAAGACTGAGACAAGAAAACCAGAGGACAATTTCACACCGTCCCTCTGGATCAGTTCCTTTTGTGTGCTGGAGGCATTGGCAAGTTCTAAGTAGGTGTGATATTCAGATCCCTAAAACTGGGAAGTTGCTCTTACCTTTGCCCCAAGGCAACTCTCTCCTCTGTACCCTGGGTTCAAGAGGCTGCACCTGTCCAAAATGAATACCTATAAGGGAGCCTGAGAATTTTCTAGGTATCTCTGAAGAAGTGTTGCATACATTTCAGTGACACAAACTCACCTGTGGTAGTTTGGGGTGTCTGGGTCTCCCCAGACAGCATGGCAGTATTGTGTAGGATCTCGGCTTAGAAGCAACTCTCTCCTCTGTACCCTGGGTTCAAGAGGCTGCACCTGTCCAAAATGAATACCTATAAGGGAGCCTGAGAATTTTCTAGGTATCTCTGAAGAAGTGTTGCATACATTTCAGTGACACAAACTCACCTGTGGTAGTTTGGGGTGTCTGGGTCTCCCCAGACAGCATGGCAGTATTGTGTAGGATCTCGGCTTAGAAGCAGAGGTCCTTGTACTGGGATGACTTAAAAAAAAAAAAAAAAAAACAGAACAATTTTACCTTTTCATCTCTGAGTTTGGTTCCTTTTCTGTGCTGACCTCTTTCTTAGACGTCTCTTTCCTCTCAGCCCTAATACTTCTGTCCCCGGACTCACCTGCTAGGAAACCCTGAATTCGCTGAGTAGCCTCTCTCACTGCGGCCAGCGCTCGGGATTCCCCTCTCATTCCATCCCCCTCAGGATTCCAAGGATCTCCTGAATAGTCGATTTGGATTCGAAGGGGTTGAGGCTCACGAAACACAGGGAGAGGAATGGTCATGGAGCGGGAGTCGGTGGGCAGTTGGGAAGAAGGGGGCCCGAGAAGCCTTACAGACTTCTGGGCCTCATCATGCAGACATCTGCTTGTGACCACCCCGAGGAGGAATAGCCACAGCATATCTCTCCGCAGCCTGCCCTGGGCCCGTCTCCTCGGCCCTTCTTCCCCAGCTCACCGTTCTTTCTGTCTTTCTTTCTTCTCTCTCCACATCCCCTCCACCATTCTTGCTTGATTCTCCAAGATTTGAAAGTTGTTGACTAAATCTACAGTTCCCTACCAGGAGGAGGGATGTGAGCCACAAGGGCCGAAGCTATCTTCTTCTGAGGTACCAGAGGAGGCATGCAGGGGGCGGGGACTGTGATTTTTTCCAGAGAGCTGATGATTTTCCCATGATGGGACCCTTTCCTAAATCTCTGCTATCCCACATCCCAGTTCCCCTCTGTTTCTCAGTAGAAAACCCTGGAGGCGCCCTATAACTAAAAATAAATAAATAAAATTTAAAATGTGCTGGCAACGTAATGGATAGGGTGGATGAGGAGGCGTTTTCTTGGTTCATGGATTCCTGCCTATCTCCTTGGAGGTGAGTGAACAGGTTCTTCATTTCACTGGCGTGGCCGGCAGTGTCAGAACTAGGCAGGCTCTAACTCAACTGTGAGACTTTTAGGCACTTCCTGCACCTGTAGAGGGTCAGTAGGCACACAACAAACACATGTGAGTTGACTGACACCTATGGAGCTGTGTTGACAGGTCTGTGAGGTTTCACAGACTCTTTTGCTTATAGGTTTGCAGGAAAGGGAAGATAAACTCTAAAAATAGACACAATAAAAGTTCAAAGATATTCTCGGGGAACTGTTGGTGCCTCTTTGCTTTGCTCCCACTGTGCTCTCTCATCCTGTTTTCCCTGTTTGGCCACCCTTCCTCTGCTGCCTGGCCAACTCCTACTTTCCTGTAAGGGCTCTGGGAAGCCTTTCTCAATGTCTCCAGCCCAAATTCCACATCTGCCCGAGGTGGGAGGGAACCCCCTTACAGGAACACCCTGTCCTCTTTAACACCTAACAAGGCCTGCCATCCTCTGTGTAATGGTGGGCTCTGCATGCTCTGTCTTGCACTCCCAAACTCAGGATGGACCTGCTTCCCGTTGGTCTTCAGAGTGTGGCTGAAGGTGTGTAAACCTAATGTCATCATTTTACCTTTTTTTTTTTAAAAAAAAGAAAACAGGCTGGGCGTGGTGATGCACGCCTTTAATCCCAGCACTAGGGAGGCAGAGGCAGGCGGATCTCTGTGAGTTCAAGGCCAACCTGGTTTACATAGTGAGTCCCAGGCCAGCTGGGACTGCAGGGAGACCCTGTTTCAAAAAGACAAAATAAATAAATAAATAAATAAATAAAAAGAAAAAGAAAAAAAGAAAACAAACTAAAAAACAGTATCACAGTATGTGGCCCAGCTGGCCTTAAATTTATGATCCTCCTGTCTCAGCTTCCAACTGCTGGGGTTACAGGCATTAACCCATTATTTAACTTTTGAAAAAGGTCAGAGATGAAGTCACACATAGCTAATTTGTGACAGGTCAGGACTAGAGTTCAAAGAGGACTGCTGACTTCTAGGAAAGTTGAATGCTACTTTTACATGTCAGAACCATAGTAAGGAAGACATCCAACTCTGGAGCCAAAGACACTCTGCCACTTCCTATTTATGTCATTTTGACCAAGTGCCTTAGCTTTTCCCAAAGTGGGGGTGATTGTACTTAAAGGGTTGATATGAGGAATAGGTGAATATTTGTAAAGTACTAAAAACAGTGCCCAGGGATTAGAGAGATGGCTCAGCGGTTAAGAGCGCGGGTTGCTTGTCCAGAGGACTTGAGTTTGGTTTCCAGTACCCATGTTGGGTGGCTCACAACCACCTGTAATTCCAGGCCCAGAAGGATCTGACACCTTTGGCTTCTGTAAGAACCTACACTCATGGGTATGTACCTGCAAACACATACACATAATTCAAAATATGAAAAATAAATCTTTGGGGGCTGGAGAGATGGCTCAGTGGTAAGAGCACTGGTGCTCTTACAGAGGACCAGGGTTCAGTTCCCAGCACCCACATGGTTGCTAACTATGGATAACTCCAGTTCCAGGGGCTCAGACTCCGTCTTCTGATCTCCGCAGGCATTGTATGACACAGGGTGCACTTACATACACAAAGGCAAAACACTCATACACATAAAAGAAAAATAGATTAAAAAATTTAAAATTAGATCTAAACAGAGAGTTCTCAAAGGAAGAAATAAAAATGGCTAAAAAACATCTCAAAAAGTGTTCAACATCCTTAGTAATTAGGGAAATGCAAATTAAAACCACCCTAAGGTATCGCCTTACCCCAATCAGACTGGCTAGGATCAAGAGAAAAAATGATACCAAATGCTGGCAAGGATGTGGAGAAAAGGGAACATTCATTCACTGCTGGTGGGATTGCAAACTCTGCAGCCTCTATGGAAAACAGTGTGAAGAACTCAAAAAAACTAAAAACGAAGGCCGGGCATGGTGGCACATGCCTTTAATCCCAGCACTTGGGAGACAGAGGCAGGTGGATCTTTGTGAGTTCGAGGCCAGCGTGGTCTGCATAGTGAGTTCCAGGACAGCTAGGGCTACAAGGAGACCCTGTCTCAAAAAAGGAAAAAAAAACAAACCCAAAATTAAAAATGAACCTACCATATGACCCAGTTATATCACTCCTTGGCATATACCCAAAGGATTCATCCTATTGTAGAGACACTTGTACAACTATGTTTGTTGCTGCTCTTTTCACAATAGCTAAGAGATGGAAGCAGTCTGTGTCCCTCAACTGATC